TGCATGTGTGTTTTGAGAATCTTATGGATGGAATAGAAAGAAATTTATTAACAAAGAATAGGGATAGGTAAGTTATGTTTGTGGTTAGTAACTGGCTTATGCCGGAAAAGTCAAGTGAACATTGTTTAGGTTTTGTTTATCTTGGACATGTCTTGCTCAAACTTTACAAATACATCATACTTCTTGGGAGACATGTTCACATTTGTTTGTTTCCCAGTCCAGTTCAAGATGGCTAACTGGCTAACAGATTTTGTTCAATACATACATAGAAAATTATGGTTACTTGTCATTTTTTCGACATATCTGATGCATATTCTGACATGCCTTCACTGATCATTTTCAAATGTCATATATCATCACACATATGTATTTGTTTCACAATTCTGTACGAAAGTGCATATGTGTGTGAATTTGTCCTACTGTATCCAGCATCTCACACATGCTTTACTAACTTTGACGTAGTTACCATTGTTTTTGAATTAGAGTTAGACTGACTTCAGATCATATTGTTTTATTGCAGATTCACACAAAATTTATCAGTATTTCGGCGCGACGTAAATGACTCCTTGAAAGCTCCAAGCAATTCTTTATCAATGACATCATCAAGCGACATGATGAGTTAATAGTTTACAGACAGTACTATATTAAACTACCCGATAACTACAGTGGAATAGCTCAAGCTGAATGTATGGGTTGAACCATTCTCAAAACAGAGGGTGTGAACTGTTTTCACCCTCGAACTACCTACAAAGAATGAGGAATGCCAGGTTCAACTTTTGTCTCAATTGCTTCCGACTTATCTGCAAGTTTCAAACTATCAAGGTTACCAAGAAAGCAAAACTCAGTACATGTGCTTGATGCAAGAAAAACATGTGACAAGCGTAACCATTTCATTCACTGTTGAATTTGTGTGACAATTTCTAGAAATGTGTCTTAGTTTCAGTGTAATCATTGGTAGTCACATTTTACAAATCCATTGTGGAGAATTGGGAAATTAATACAAAAAGTATCCAGTGTCATGGTAACGAGGACATAACTTTATTTAGTTTGAACACTTGGTGGCGCTATACTTGTTTTTGAGCTGAAACTAGTCTGCATTGTGGTAGGTTGTGGTTTTATTATTCAAATGAAAATGCTCAACATATATGCTGCAGAAAATGTGCTTTATCTATTTTGTTTCTCGCAAGTCTGTATATTATTATGAAGTAGAGAGAGAAGTGAGACAACTACGTCAGTCATATCAGCCCTCTTGTGATGGAGCTGTTACCTAAGTGTACCTAAGGTATTTGACTGAGTTGACATGCACACATTTCAGAGATGTCTGCCATGAGTGATTAGTTGAGTTTCTTAAAAGTTGGTTTCTGTTGAAGCTCTTCATGAACTGCCTATTTTCAAAATGTAGATCAATTTGTCTATTAACAATAGTTCAGTAGCTCTTTGGGTTTGAAAATACAGTCTGAGAAGTGTCTAATCTCCTCTGTCAGCCTTCCTGTTTTCAAAACTAGTATTGGAGTCATTTTCCCAAAATTCAAAAGTTTCGTTTCCTGATTCATTCAGGTGTTTTTGTTTTTTTTTGGATTTGGGTTTGCCAACTTGATCCAAAAATAGCCAACAAGATTAGAAAGGAGTTTCACATTGGAATGGATATGGCAATTCATTAATCCAGTAGATGTTGGTCTTACTATGAACCTGGTCTGTATCTTCAGCACCCAGTCTATCTATTGTGTATATGGTCTATGGGAAAATAATCATGTCATACTTACAAGTGCAGTACAGTGTCAGATAGAATAATTTGACATAAGGATTCCCTGTTCTTGAAATTGTTGGTCAATGTACTACAATAAGGTTGTTCATTTTCCGAACTGCCAAAATTGGGGGAATTCAGAAAATTATGCTCTTTATAAATAAATAATTTTCAGTCCAATTTTGTTGGCGTTTGCTCATTTTTTTTTGTACAAAAAAAACACATTTGTAATTTAATATTATTGGGTTCAATTTTATTTTCATGTTATAGATAAAAAATCAAAAACTTGACTAATAATGTTGTCGAAATATGCCAATTATCTATTTTCTTAAGAAATAAAAAAAAAAAATACTATGCCTGATATTTACTCTGAATATACGCAGTGAAGTATGCAAATAATGTCTGCTGCAGCACAGTCTTCCACTTCTACCTAACTGCCAGTCAACTTCTCACAAAATATAATTGCATCAAGTCAACTGGCAATCATGTTCATTTAGTCCAAATTCATGAAGAAATTATTGAAAAATACATAAAATGTTGCATCAAAGATTCATACTGAGTTTTATGGGTGGCGTGGCTTTATTTTACCTATATGCTGTTTCCTTTCACTGCCGTAAAGATGTTTGTAATGGTGAATCATATGCTTTGCATGCGACTGCTTTATGAAAAATTATTATTCAGATAATTGTCACAAAGCTTAAAGGATTCTTTGTGGTATGATGCTGCAAATGCTGTCTTGGGGTGTATATCGCCCTCTAGTGGCTAACTATTGTAATATAGTGTATACATTAGGTACAAGGTGAAAAATGTAATAAAATTTGTTTCTTTATGTTTGACTGTTCATGTGTATCTTTATTTATTTCATAAAGTTTCTGGTTGATATTCAAGACAGCATTATGCACGACTTATTTGAGAATGGTTGGAACATGATTTATCTTTGACTTATAGTTCATGAGTAGTCTGTTCCATGGACATCTCAAGAACCACTAATCTTGGTTAATTCAGACCTGGATGTAATTTGCACATGAATTTCAAGTCTTTTCACTTGTTTCTCAAGAACCACCTAACAGACTGCAATAAAAATTGGTATATAGACTCTCTGAGGTAATTTACAGGAACAATTAGTTTTTGGTTGCAACTTTTGCAGATTAATTATCTAATTTGCATAAATTTATCCATTTTTTTTTAAAAAGCAGCAACAATGCTTCATCTAGGTTTAAACTGCACATTTTCATCTCAATCATTTGAGTTTTAACTTGTATGCGTTAAGGCCAACAGCCTATTTGAGGGGGGGGGGGGGGTTCCAGTAAATATCCTTGACTCCCTAACATTTACAATGCACTAGAACATAAAGTTCAAACAAGTATTAGTAAATCTATGCAGATTGTAAACACTTGTATTCATATACAGAGTGCAATTGTAACGGATAACTGTTTAAACTTGCAAAGCTACAAACATTTTGATTACCAGATTTAAAATAGCTCTAAGTAATGTACACCCATATAAAACAAAAAGTACTTAGGTTGGCATGTTCTTGACAACCAGAGCTAAACTTCATCAAACAAACATTTACACCTTGGATATCGAAAAAATTAGATTGGTAGTTTTCAAAATATTGAAAATATTTTGTATCAAAACATGTTTGTGAAAATATAGGATTGATAGTCCCAATAATAAAATAAATCTGATAAGTCTATTCAAGGTATCAAAGCAATATT